TCGCTCTCAGTGACGTCGTTGATGTGCCCACCGCCAAGATCATCTCGCGTGAGGTTTCGGACGGTGTCATTGCCGCAGGCTACTCTCCTGAAGCTCTTGAGATCCTTTCCAAGAAAAAGGGCGGCAAGTACCTCGTGCTCCAGATGGATGAGTCCTACGTTCCCGCAGCCGAGGAGACCCGTACTTTGTACGGTGTTCAGCTCTCTCAGCACCGCAACGATGTGGTGATCTCTCCCCAGAAGACCTTCAGCACCATCGTGACCCCTAAGGACCTCCAGAGCCTCCCTGACTCTGCTTTGCGGGATCTCACTGTGGCTACCATCGCTCTGAAGTACACTCAGTCCAACTCTGTCTGCTACGCTCTTAACGGCCAGGTCGTTGGTCTGGGTGCTGGCCAGCAGAGCCGTATTCACTGCACTCGTTTGGCCGGTGACAAGGCTGACAACTGGTGGATGCGCTTCCACGACCGTGTCCTCGGCATTCGGTGGAAGAAGGGCACTAAGCGTGCCGACAAGGCCAACGCCATTGACTTGCTCTGCTCGGGTAACACCCCTCGCAATGAGGCAGAGAAGGCCGAATACGAGCGCGTCTTCGAAGAGGTCCCTACTCCATTCACTCAGGAGGAGCGGGAATCCTGGCTCGAGAAGCTGAGCGAGGTTGCCGTCTCGTCCGATGCTTTCGTAAGCCATCCCCCTGGTTCTCTTTTAATCTATGAAACCCCCATCGCTAACTCGCTTCACACTAGTTCCCCTTCATCGACAACGTTTTCCGTGCAGCCCGCTCCGGCGTTAAGTACATCGCTGCTCCCAGTGGTAGCCAAAACGATGGCCCTGTCTTCGAGACTGCAGAGAAGCTTGGCATTGTTTTCGTCGAGCAGGGTACTCGTCTTTTCCACCACTAGGTTATTACCGTTGTTTGATATAAGATAGTCCAAATGTTATGCTAGTATCCATGTGACGACGTTAGTCTATTTTCTCATGACTTTTGATAGCGAGCGCTCTTGAGTGCAATAAAAGAACTGTTGAATTGTGCAATGATGTTTCCTGGGCATGTTTATTATGAGTCGATCAGCTGGATCCGGAACAGTATCCAGGTACGGGGTGTTCACGAGTGAGTCAAAATGTCAGTCAGATACAGTTGAGAAACAAAGCAAAAAGAGAAGGACAACTGCTCCCACGCGGATTTGAACCGCGGACCTCATGATTACTAGTCATGCGCTCTACCAACTGAGCCATAGGAGCTGATTATTGAAAATGACTTTACTTATCCAGGTTATAGGCTAAATTACCATTCTATTGATTTTTTGTTTTCTTAACGTACTCCTTTGAGGTAGGTATGTACTATGTACATGTTACATAGATCTTAGGCAAATATGATTTTTTTTGTCTAGCCGTCCACGATATAAGGTGCTTAATTGCCATCACACGCCATGGATAGGTAGTCTTAAGTCCCTCCTGGGTGTTATAAGCGGCCCATGAAAATGGGCCCGGCTTCGTTCTACTGAACCGAGATATATATATGGACGGCAGTGATCGTTCCAACGTCAAAGTCACCACCGGCCAGTATGGCATCCATCAATGAAATCTGCCCATCCTACGTCTACATCGAAACAAGACCCAGGATACTATGACAATATCAATCAAAACAAACCCACCAACGGATACACGCTTTGAAGGATCTGGCGCAAACAGAAGAATGGGAATCTAAGTCGCGGGAAGCACACAGGTAAGTTCTTTGCTAGGGCCATAACAGCACCGCTTGTAGATGCACGAAAAAGTTATCTAACCCCCGGGACAAGAGCTCATATACGCCCTAGCACAAAGGTTGGCCAGTACTAGTAGCATACACGCCTCAGAATATCAAGATGAATCTTTAAAACTAACTCTCACTTCTACCTTAAATATAAAAACATTTTCAACAATCCAGCTCCTATGGCTCAGTTGGTAGAGCGCATGACTAGTAATCATGAGGTCCGCGGTTCAAATCCGCGTGGGAGCAGTTGTCCTTCTCTTTTTTTTTTTTTGCTTTGTTTTTGCTTTTCTTTTTTCTCGACCCTCATTAACATACTTATTACCGTCACTATCCCACAAACCAGGAGGTATTCAAATGCAAACATGGTGCCGTTAGATCCATACCACCCTCTTCGAAACCAGTTCGCTTAACCTAGTTGTCATCATCTACTGCCCACAGACCTGGGATCAAATGAGAGGTTGAAGGGGTAGCAGAGGGTTTCGACGTGCCATAATGGGGCACACTTACATTGGCGTGGACAGTGACTCTAGAATTACACGCGCCGGGGCGAAACAAGCCTTTGGTCTTTTGGAAGATGCCCGCGTACGGATCCCTTTCCTGACCAAACGTGACGCCCTTTACGGTCCCTGACCTGCACGGCTATTCGACCAGGGCCTCAACCTTCCACCTCGAGCAGAGAGGCTTGCAAGTACCCGTCAGCCGCGCTTCCAACTGGAATCGATGGAGCTGCGTGAACCCATCAACCAGTGACTTAGCTGGTAACTGCTGCCTTCGACATAATACGTCTCGGGGCTGGTTCGATAAAGCCTGGGAACCCTCACTTTCAGCCATTTGGACGATCCAGACAGATGGCTGTCGTCAGGATTCGCAAGCTGAGCAAATGATTATCTTGGATAGCCCGTTTGTTGTCAATGCCCATATGAAGGTTCACCGTAGTCATTAACTCGGGACTAGGTATCGAATCCTGCACTTGGAGTGGAATTTGATCCTATGCTATGGATCAAATCAGCTGAAAAAGTTCACTTTACATGGTTACATCGCTTCGTCGTTGTCTATAGCACCCCTTAGTGAAGAAAATCCGGAGGCTATTCCCCGCGTGGAGTGAGATCAGACCCTCCCTTCAGTCCTCCCCACACCCTCATCATCTCTAGATCGGTCCCCATAATTTGCGGATCATTCCGGATGCAAGAGCTGACATGGACAAGAATGGGGCCGGGATGCAACGCTACCAGCCCGAACTAGCACACTAGTACCGCAGTATGTTCATAGGTACTACTGCAGATGCACTCGAAGGCTAGGACAAGAACGATCTGGACTGAGTCTCGGTCTCTAAGAGTGCTCCTGCATGGTCAGTTAATCTGTGGCATTTTGACCACCTCGAACGAGGGGTAGTTCGGCAGTGTACACGGAGTCTCTAGTCAGACGTGGTGGATATACTGTATCACGCAAGTGTTAGTCATTCAGAACCTCACTAGGGTCAACTTCACATGCAATTCTCTCTATCTCCGGGTGACATGAATGTAACCGGACTTAATCTCGGAACCGCTGTTGCTGTGATTCACTAAATCTGTTTGTTATGTTTACGAGACGTGGGGATTTGATCTTATATCAAAATTGGACGATGTTCAAAGAAAATCGTGTATGGGTTTCTTCAAAGTCCGCAAGTCGTTCTTTGATCGACCGCGGTCTACACTGGTGGGTAAATAATACTGCCCCGATACTGATCCAACTGTTGCGCTTCTAACCAAAGGTAAAATAATGATTTTGAATCTGACTGCGTTCTTGAGATTAACAATTTGTGCTCCGAGAAGGATATTGATTATAGTGAGGAGCATGACGAAACTGGTCAACACTGTGCGTCTACTGCGGACTTATTACTACAGCTTTGAGACATTTAGCTAGACGCCTACAGAGGGCTAGCTAACATGACGCGATTTGTCCGTAGTCGGAAAGATAACTGAGGCCGAGGAGACTAGAACTGGGTATGCTACGATACTACCTACCGCTAGAAGACCGGCGCGGTCTAGGCAAAGTTGGATTCTTTACAGTAGCCTCACCGAGAACGAAAATAAATGAACGCAGACGAGCATGATCAAGAGTCCAAGTAGTCGAGATACTTGACACGGACATTTCGTGCGGCATGAAGATTGTTCGGTTATACGATGAGCAGGGCCACATAAGAGAGTAAATGGATACACCTAGGCTTGTGGTGAATTGAGAATGATAGATATACCTTACCTGATCCAAATTGCCCATCACTATGAGATAAGTGGTAAGGGGGCACCTGTCAGACTCATAAACCGATCAGTTGATTGGGATTTCTCGAAGCTGCACAGGCTATGGATGCAGCAAGGAATATGACGAAAGATGTGAATTGGACGAATTTTCTGCCGACTACGTCTGACAACAGGGTAACAAATACACCACAGCCTGTGAGTGAGTTAACAATAAGGGATAGTATACAGAATGGTAGCAGGATTTTCGTATCCATTAATGAGAGGAGCAGGCCGAGGAAAATGCTGAAAGGTCTCTTGGTCAGCCGCCATTAGTTACAACGTAGGCATCACATTTCAGCAAGTTACGGTACTAAAGAAGAATAGCAACTGTCACCATGCTGCAATGGTGGGCCCTGTAACTTCAGGCCCCCCAGGGAAGCCTCGGTCGTTCTGCTTTAGAGTTGCAGCATCTTCGATGGGCTTCTTCACAGGATAGCGCACTGACTCTCCACTCTCAACCGGCAAATCTATGTCCCTAGGGGTTAAGGAAGGACTTAGATTGGTTCTTAAGATTTTAGACGGAGTATCTTGTGAGTAGAGTGGTTCGATGTGTTTCACGTTGCCTTGGGTAGGCTATACCTCCTCTCGCGGGTTATTAGGGCAGTCCTAAAATTGGAGCCTAGAGAGATAATAGAAAATGAGCCCAAAACATTGGCCACCGCTAGTGTTAAAGATAGGATGATTGCTTGGACTGGAGTCAGGTCACTAGTCGTCCGGCCCTAAGCACAATGTGGAGGATCGGCAGCCGACAGACCAACCTTTTCGACCACTTCCTTCAGCACTCCCCGGGCTAGACCCTAGACCCTGGACCCTGGACGCATTTACTAACCTGCCCTGGATAGTAAATTATCGGGCACCAGTCAGAGGATGTCGACGGGCGTCTGCAGTCCTTTTTTTCCAGCAATTAGTGGTTGGCCGAGGTGCAGCTGAAGAGAAGTCACCATGTGATATAATCTGATCATGGCATGTCAACGAACTTCGAACAGTGTCTGTGTATGAACGCACCACAGAAAGCATTGAAAGGAATTAAGATAGGACCCTTCTATTACGCCCCTAGATTGCTCTTGGTTGGCTTTGTGACGATCAATACGCAGAAGCAGATCTTCAGGAGCGTCATCGCCCTCTGGGCAGTTGAAACCAGCAGAGATTCAGTTTTACCTAATGGGGTTTGCTGATGTGATTCTGCATTGCATGGTGCTAATCATAGTATATGCAGTTATAGCGACCAGAGATCAAATTGTCCACCACCCACAGAGAAGTTGCTTGTTCATACCCCGCCGGATATCGTGGAGTCCTCCGAATCGTGGGATTTCAACGGAAGAATCAACATGGAGAAGGTGCTTTCTGTCTTTTCATCTGGAGTTTGGGGTATAAAAAGGGGTTCGAATCCCGCTTTTTTTTTTGGAATCTCGAGAACCAAGAATCATTCTTTCCGACACACAATCAGCCCAGAGAAACCTTCTTTGCATTCAAATTGATTTGAACATCATGCTTGCCAAACACGCCCTTGCTGTCCTTTTGTCTATTGGCGCTTCCGCCTTTCCTTTTGACAAGCGAGATGCATCCACTGTCCTCGCTGATTTTAACACACTCTCGACTGACCTGTCAGCTCTCGGCTCTGCTATTTCGAGCTTCGATGGAACGCTCAATGGTGCCTTGGGTGTCCAGCAGAAGGAAGGCGAAGTAGAGACGGCGTTGAAGAAGACCGTCAGCGATGTGAAAGCGTCCACTGCGTTCAGTGCCGCTGACAGCACAAGCGTGACCAATGCTGTGACCGGTCTGGAGCCTAGCATTGTAAACGTTCTCAACGATCTCGTTTCTAAGGTGTGTTGTCACCAGTCTTGAATCTTTCCATTGAGATAAATCATTGACAAGATTGGTAGAAATCCGGGTTCGACTCTGTTGGTGTTACCAGCATTGTCGTTTCGGATCTTAACTCCCTCCACGACCTTACTGGCCAGCTCTCAACTGAGCTCCAGTCGAAGGTCACTTCAGGTGACGCATCTACCATCTCCGACGAGGCTGCGCGTCTTGATGCGGAGTATCAGAAGGCTATCGCTGCCTATTCCTAAGTTACGGTGCTCTGTAGGCCCCGTATCAACTGATCGTCGAAGGATGCGAGTAGGCCGGACGAAGCTAGAAAAAGGACATCCTGCAAAGATTAGGCTTTCTTTTAGCATAGTGCCCTAGCTTTTGTGAGATTTATGGGTCAAATAAGCAGTATTAGGTTGTTAACGTACGATTCTTTTTCTTTTATTCCCTCTCTAGTCACCCCCAATTTACATCTTATTGTGCGTAGGCTCTGCAACAAGATTTCAGATTGAAAGCAGGACGTTTGACCAACAATCATATATATTTTGAACTTTTAACCCAAATATGGTCTCATTTTGTAGCAGTATATTGAGTCCAGGTTTGAGACATAGCTATAGAAAAGGGGGATAGATTGATCAGTGAAAGTCGTTTGAGACCATGTGCCATTCGGAGTCCACTTTGCGTCTCCGCATTTATACTCAAAGTATACAGTAGATCTGATTAGTGGTTGTAGTTGGAAGCCTGCCTCAGGCCGTGAATTTAGGCGTGAAAGTCTTTACTTGATCGGGAAGTGTGATCGTCAATCATCTTTAAACCGTGCGAGTAACACTGACGATAAGATACTGCACTCCTGCCTGTATATGTACCTGTGTACCTACTCTAGACAGGGGATATCAGTATTATATTTCCTTTCCCTTTTTCATTATTCAAATCTGAAGAGAAAGGGAGGGTGTAGAGAAGGGAATCAATTGAGTTTTCGCTCCCCGAGGTCTTCAACTATGGCAACCCATGGAATGTACATACTCGACCACATAAATCCTAGAGTGCGCGCGTCATCACTGCAACAACTCGAATCACTACAAACAAATAAAATTCACTGCTTGGAGGCACCCGAGGAGCGTTGCACCCTTCGCCTCTTATGGACTGTATGAATATGTGGGCATCTAATTCCACCTAACCGCGCAGTTTCGCACGGTAGACCCTAGTCGTCATCCATTGCTCGAAACCCTTTATACAAATAAGGTATACGTAATGGTGTTGTTCCCCTGAAATGCTGTAGTCAGACAGTGAGTCCCCCTGACGCAGATTACCCCTGAGACACTACATGTAACTGAATCTGTTTTCAGTAAATGGTAGACTGTAATCCGTGGGGTGTGCCATTGATTCTATATTCTTTGACGTCACGATGTAAGCTCGGGTAGTTCGGGAAGTCGAGACTCGATTTAATAAGAAACCATAGGAAGAAACAAAAAAAAAAAAAAAATAAGGGCAAGAGCAGCCCCCACAGAGAGATTCTCTCGTCCACAGGTCGTCAACTTCAGATTTCAACTGTGAAACTCACCACTACGATGGTTAAGACCCCGCTGTTCTTATTCATTATATCGGCCGGCAGCTGCAATGCCTTGAGTCTCTGTGCAGGACGGCATTATTGTCCCTGGACGGGGCCGGTACAAAGTGCATCAGAGCCCAAGGAGGATGCAAATGTGTATGTTGGTACCTCCAGGTTGAACCTGCCTTATATCCTGAACAGCCCTGTCTGGTGATTGCCTATCAATGAACTCATGCCCCTACTAGTGCCGCCATAGAACTACCGAAGCAGCAGGTGCACTTCTCAAGATTACCAAATGTAGATAAGATTACAGAAAAACCTTCACCCAGTGAAGCATTCTCTTTGCTCGACACGGTCTCCGACAAGCTCCAAACCGATGTGCTACATGGCTTGGACGAGGAGACTACTCTCTATGACCGCACCTGGGCTTCGAGGTATGTCATTATATCTTTCAGCTATATGAATTGCACCATACTAATTGGTTTAAATAGAGGAAATGGATGGGACGCTCGAGTGGAATTGAAGCTAAGGTAGATCTAGACTTGTGAAGGATCTATGTATACAGCTAACACGACCTAGACCAGGGAACCGGGCGATGTCTAGTCTGGACTGGGCAACTAGATGGGAGAAAGCAATGGACTGCCTCTCGTCAAAGGAGCTTGAGAATGTGGATATGTATGAAATGGATGAGCTTGCCCTTGCAGCCTTCTGGGACCGGGTGTGGGGATGCTATGTACCATATGCAGGTGGACGTGACGAATGATTGAGGTTACGACCCTGAGGAATCTGTCATGACGCCTACGATTGAGCTTTTTAAGATTATGAGAGTAGACACTATCTTATTTATAAGTAATTAAGCATGTGTCCCTCTGCTCTTCAAGTCCTTGTCATAACACTGCCAAGTAAGGACGTACTGGGGTATTGTACACAGCAATTGCAAAGGAGCCAAGTACATAGAGCTTCTTTCACTTCTTCTAACATCTCTTGGACAGAGTTATAGGCTGACAGTAACGTGAGTAATATGAATATGACTCTCCAAAAGAGGTGAATGGCAGTAGGTAACTTTGATTCGGATTCATCGTTTGATCAGCAGTTGAATTCTTAGTCTGGAACCAAGGCAATGGCTTCAACTTTTCATTTATAAGAGTGAGAGACTTATACTCTTAGGGGGATTGGGATAAAGGATCCTTATCTGTTTTCAGACTTGAATTCTAATTCAGAAGTCAGTGTCTGGTGTTGTTCAAAGCAGGCCCAGACCATCTCATTCTATCTGCCCCTGGCTGCACGTGACGCCCCATAAGCGACACCTCAGCAACGACGGCCGCGCCGGTCTCCTGAGGTCACTTCCGCTTCCCCAGTCTATCATCAACTTACCCTCCCCCTGCTTCAAAACCTCCTTTTCTCCCCTTCTTACTTCTTTTTCTTCCTTCCGTCTTTAGCTTCAATTTTAAATTCCTTTTCTTTCTCTTTCCTTATAACCCGGTGGAATTTATTTGCGTGGCGTTTCGTTGGTTGGGTGAGGTCGTCCTGCGGCCTACGTAAATATGGCTCCTCTCCCCATCAAGTTTACGGAGCTTATTAATGTATTCTCCGACCCTTGACTTCAATATTATCAGAGTAGTGATGAGAAGCTGACCTGTGTTTACATTTGCAGTTGACAAATGCTGAAATTGCGGTATGTCTTGTCGCACTGCCAGCTCGTGGTCTTTTAAGGCTGCGGTGCTAGTCGCGCCCAACCATACCCACCCTAACTGTGGTCAACATCTACTTACGTTGCTCTCTTTACCAGCCGGCATCGATCGGGTTCAACTCATGTGTATGTCCCACACACATACTACACCGTTGCCCCTCAATTGATCTACAGTGTGCTAATTGCCCCCCCCCTCCCCGCAACAGACTCTAGAATCGGATCACTATGTCTGCGTTCGGCAAAAGCTCAATGAAGAGGATAAACCTCAAGTTATCATCATTAACTTAAAGAATAACAATGAAGTCCTCAAACGGCCAATCAATGCCGATAGTGCTATCATGCACTGGACCCGAAACATCATCGCTCTGAAGGCTCAAGGCCGCACAATCCAAATCTTCGATCTGGGGGCGAAACAGAAGCTGAAGTCAGCGGTGATGAATGAGGATGTTGTTTACTGGAAGTGGTTCAGCGACAAGTGCCTAGGTTTAGTAACGGAAACGTCCGTTTACCACTGGGATGTCTTCGACCCTACCCAGTCTCAGCCACTCAAGATTTTCGACCGACTCCCTAACCTGAGCGTACGTCATATCCATCATACACAAACGTGAATTAGCGAATGGAGCCGGAAAGCTGATACATCGATGTTTCATAGGGGTGCCAAATTATCAACTATCGCGTTAACGATGATGAGAAATGGATGGTAGTAGTTGGAATCAGTCAGCAGCAGGGGCGTGTTGTGGGCTCGATGCAGCTGTACTCCAAGGAACGCGGGATTTCGCAATTTATTGAAGGACATGCTGCCGCCTTCGCGTCGATTCGAGTCGAGGGTTCTCCTTTGGAACATAAGCTCTTCACCTTTGCCGTTCGGACCCAGACCGGTGCCAAGTTACAGATCGCCGAGATTGACCACCAAGAACCGAACCCCCGATTCCAGAAGAAGGCTGTTGAGGTGTATTTCCCCCAGGAGGCTGTCAATGACTTCCCGGTGGCGATGCAAGTATCGCGGAAGTACGATGTCGTGTATCTTGTCACCAAGTATGGCTTCATCCATCTCTATGACCTCGAGACTGGCACCTGCATTTTCATGAACCGGATCTCCAGCGAGACCATTTTCACTACCGCACCCGACTCAGATTCGGCTGGCTTGGTTGGTGTGAACCGCAAGGGTCAGGTTCTGTCCGTTAGCGTTGATGAAAACACCATTGTTCAGTACTTGATGGAGAACCCTGCTATGTCTGGGCTTGCAGTTAGGCTTGCCTCCAAGGCTGGACTTCCTGGTGCGGACCACCTGTACCAGCAACAGTTTGACAACCTCCTTGCTCAGGGCAACTACTCCGAGGCTGCTAAGATTGCCGCAAACTCTCCCCGCGGATTCCTACGCACTCCAGAAACCATCAACCGTTTCAAGAATGCTCCTCAGACCGGACAGCAAATGTCTGTTATCCTCCAGTACTTTGGAATGCTTTTGGACAAGGGATCTCTGAACAAATACGAGAGTGTTGAGCTCGTTCGTCCCGTCTTGCAGCAAAACCGGAAGCACCTCCTTGAGAAGTGGATGCGCGAAGAAAAGCTGGAGGGCTCCGAGGAACTTGGAGATATTGTTCGACCCTATGACATGAACCTGGCTCTGCAAATTTACTTGCAAGCCAATGTTCCTCAGAAGGTCATCGCTGGCTTTGCAGAGACTGGACAGTTCGATAAGATTCTCGCGTACTCCAAGCAGGTCGGTTATCAGCCTGACTATACCCAGCTGTTGCAGCATATTGTGCGTGTGAACCCTGAAAAGGGTGCCGAATTTGCTACTCAGCTTGCCAACGAGGAATCGGGTGCATTAATTGACCTGGACCGTGTTGTGGACGTATTCTTGTCTCAGAACATGATCCAGCAGGCGACTTCCTTCTTGTTGGATGCCCTCAAGGATAACAAGCCTGAGCATGGTCATCTGCAGACACGGTTACTTGAGATGAACCTGGTCAACGCCCCTCAAGTGGCCGATGCTATCCTTGGCAACGAGATCTTCACTCACTACGATCGTCCCAGAATTTCCCAGCTGTGCGAGAATGCTGGCCTCATTCAACGCGCCCTGGAGAACACTGATGATCCAGCAGCCATTAAGCGTAATATCGTCCGCACTGATAAGCTAAGCCCTGAATGGTTGATGAACTACTTTGGTCGTCTTTCTGTTGAGCAGACTCTCGACTGCATGGATACGATGTTGCAGGTGAACATCCGTCAGAATCTGCAAGCCGTTGTTCAGCTTGCCACCAAGTTCTCCGATCTCCTGGGTCCTGGTAGCCTCATCAGCCTTTTTGAGAAGTATCGTACTGCCGAAGGTCTTTACTACTATCTTGGAAGCATCGTTAACCTTAGCGAGGACCCCGAGGTTCACTTCAAGTACATTGAAGCTGCTACTGCTATGGGCCAGGTTACCGAGGTTGAGCGTATTTGCCGTGAGAGCAACTACTACAACCCCGAAAAGGTGAAGAACTTCCTGAAGGAGGCCAAGTTGACGGAACAGCTCCCACTGATCATTGTCTGCGATCGATTCAACTTTATCCATGACCTCGTTCTCTATCTCTACCAGAACCAGCAGTACAAGTCTATTGAGGTCTACGTACAGCGTGTCAACCCTTCCCGTGCTCCGGCAGTGGTTGGAGGGTTACTGGACGTTGATTGCGAAGAGAGCATTATCAAGAACCTCCTCTCTACGGTAGATCCAGCCGTTATCCCGATTGATGAGCTTGTCAACGAGGTGGAGACTCGGAATAGGCTCAAGCTGCTCTTGCCTTTCCTTGAAGCTACTCTCGCAACGGGTAATCAGCAACAGGCTGTATACAATGCTCTTGCGAAGATCTATATCGATAGCAATAACGACCCCGAGAAGTTCCTCAAGGAGAATGATATGTATGACACTTTGACTGTCGGCAAGTACTGTGAGAAGCGCGATCCGAACCTGGCCTATATCGCGTATAGAAAAGGTCAAAACGACTTGGAGCTCATCAACATCACCAACGAGAACGCCATGTACCGGGCCCAGGGACGCTACCTCGTTGAGAGGGCTGATCCAGAAATCTGGTCTTTCGTTTTGAGCGAAAACAACGTTCATCGCAGGTCCATGGTTGACCAGGTCATCGCAACTGCAGTGCCTGAATCGACGGAACCTGATAAGGTGTCTGTTGCTGTTAAGGCCTTCCTTGAAGCAGACATGCCTGGTGAGCTTATCGAGCTGCTGGAGAAGATTATCCTTGAGCCATCACCTTTCAGTGATAATGGCAGCTTGCAGAACCTGCTTATGCTCACCGCTGCCAAGGCTGACAAGGGTCGCCTGATGGATTATATTCATCAGCTCAACGAATTCAGCCCTGATGAGATTGCAGAAATGTGTATCTCGGTTGGCTTGTATGAGGAGGCTTTCGAAATTTACAAGAAGGTCAACAACTACATTGCCGCCGTCAACGTCCTTGTCGAGAACATTGTTAGCATTGATCGTGCCCAAGAGTTTGCCGAGCGTGTTGAGTTGCCGGATGTATGGAGCAAGGTTGCCAAGGCACAACTGGACGGTCTTCGTGTGTCTGACTCGATCGAGTCGTACATTCGCGCTGGTGACCCCTCGAACTACCTTGAGGTCATTGAAACCGCAACCCACGCTGGCAAGGACGAGGATCTCGTTAAGTATCTCAAGATGGCACGCAAGACCTTGCGAGAACCCCCTATTGACACTGCTCTGGCCTTCGCCTACGCCCGCCTCGATCAGCTCTCGGAACTTGAGGACTTCTTGCGGTCGACCAATGTCGCAGATGTTGAGACATCTGGTGACAAGGCCTACGAGGAAGGCTACCATGAAGCTGCCAAGATCTTCTACACTAGCATTTCGAACTGGGCCAAGCTTGCCACAACCTTGGTACACTTGGAAGACTACCAAGCTGCGGTGGAGTGTGCCCGCAAGGCCAACAGTGTCAAGGTCTGGAAGCAGGTTAACGAAGCGTGCGTCAACAAGAAGGAATTCCGTCTTGCCCAGATCTGTGGTCTCAATCTCATCGTCCATGCTGAAGAGCTACAGGATCTTGTTCGTCAATACGAACGCAACGGCTACTTTGATGAACTTATCTCTGTTCTGGAGGCTGGCTTGGGCTTGGAGAGGGCCCACATGGGTATGTTCACTGAGTTGGGTATTGCCCTCTCCAAGTACCACCCTGACCGGGTCATGGAGCACCTCAAACTCTTCTGGTCCCGTATCAATATCCCTAAGATGATCCGGGCTTGCGAGGATGCCAACCTCTGGCCAGAGCTGGTGTTCTTGTACTGCCACTATGATGAGTGGGATAACGCCGCATTGGCAATGATGGAGCGTGCTGCCGACGCTTGGGAGCATCACTCATTCAAGGACATCATCGTCAAGGTCGCTAATCTTGAGATCTACTATCGTGCGCTCAACTTCTACCTGCAAGAGCAGCCTTTGCTCCTTACCGATCTGCTCCAGGTTTTGACCGCCAGGATTGACGTCAATCGTGTCGTTCGCATCTTCCAATCCTCAGATAATATCCCCTTGATCAAGCCCTTCCTCCTGAATGTCCAGACCCAAAACAAGAGGGCCGTGAACGATGCCATCAATGACCTCTTGATCGAGGAGGAAGACTACAAGACCCTGCGCGACTCAGTGGATAACTACGACAACTTCGACGCTGTGGAACTGGCTCAGCGCCTGGAGAAGCACGAACTGATCTTCTTCCGTCAGATTGCTGCGAACATCTACCGCAATAACAAGCGTTGGGAGAAGTCGATTGCGCTTTCGAAGCAGGACAAGCTCTACAAGGATGCAATCGAGACCGCGGCGCTCTCGGGCAAGGCCGAGGTGGTGGAAGAGCTCCTTCGCTACGTAAGTTTCTGCTACGCCCTACTTGTGGAAGTGCTTTGCTAACTCTCTATCCTAGTTTGTGGACATTGGCAGCCGGGAATGCTACGTTGGTATGCTGTATGCCTGTTACGACCTTATCCGTCCCGATGTGATCATGGAGGTCTCGTGGCGCCACGGCCTTCACGATTTCACCATGCCCTACATGATCAACTTCCTGTGCGAGCAGACGCGTACGATCGAGATGCTCAAGAAGGACAATGAGGAACGCAAGAAGCGCGAAGTCACACAGAAGACGGAAGAGGACAACACGCCGATTCTGGGTGGCTCGCGGCTGATGTTGACCCAGGGTCCAGCGGCGCCCGTGCCAAGTCCTATGCCATATCAACAGACCAACGGGATCACGCCGCAGGCCACCGGCTTCCGCCCTTTCTAGACACGTACGCATCTTACGCCTCCCTTGTTAGCTGAAGAATTTCTTTTCTTTTCTTTTTTTTTTTCTATTCGTCTTTATTCCCTCTTCCAATGGGGTTTCGTGTATGTATAGCATAAGCCATGGATGATCTGCCGTTGATCTTGGTGAGACTAAAAACCGGAGAGAGTCGTAGAGGATGTCCACCGGGGGCGGTCCTTTTGCAGACTTTGATGGATCGTCATTGACGTCTTGTCGTCTATTTTCTTATTCCATAATTCTCTCTTCCTTTGTTTTTCCTTCTATGCCCATCCCCTGTATTTGATAGTCTTCGAGAATTCTTGACGATGAACCGTGCAGTACGCTCACGGGAAGCATTTCTTTTTTAGTTGAATGGCATTGTTTTCTTGACGTGACGACGTTGCCCCATGGAGGGTTACACCTTACCCTCGCCAGTAGTAAGGGGGACAATTATCCCACATAATTTGTGGAGACTCCTAGTTAGTTCGATCGTACCACATCGGTGGAAAGGAAGTAGAAAGAAAGGTAAGCCGGTTAAAAGAATGTAGGGTGGTGGTCTGGATGGGAGTGACCTTAGCCGTGGGGGTGGATAAATTAGGAGGAGTGAATGTATGTATGTATGTATGTATGTATCGTATCTAATGGATGGACAGTCGGAGGAAATTACGGAGAAATGGATGGATCAGACAGACATATATGAGATGCGACGCTTGCTGCAGGAGAAGGTGCATTATCTCGAAGATGCCCAGACTGAGCTACAGGACAAATGTTCTCGGTGTGACGGTTTCGGTAACCTTTTGCCAAGGGTCAAACTCCCTCACGGGGAGCGAATTCTGCCCGAGATTTGTCCAGGTCACGAGAAACAGCCAGAATCTAACGGGGTGGAGCATGAGGTCAAGTTTGAAGTCACTAACCTCGGCCCAGGCCAAAACGAGACGTCCGGAAAGCGTTCTCCGGGGGTGGGTTTCCATTTGTAGATCCCTTTGCCTAAGCCCATCTGCAAATTTCGGCATCGCAGCTTTGCATCTGGGCTTCTGGCCCCTCCCGCTTGCGCCTATCTTCGGCCATACGCCATCGTTTCGAATAACGCGAACCCTCTTGAGGAAACTCAGCCATTTTGATTACCATTTCTTATTTCCTGTTTCTGTCCCCATGAGACATTTTTGATTTTATTTTATTCCATTCTATTGCGTTTCATTTTTCATTTTCGTTCATTCTCTTCCAATTCTTTTTCTTCTGCCTGGAAGGAATTAGCCCGAGGACCCGAGGTACACACATCGCAAGAAAACGTCTGGTCCCTGATCCTCCCGATTCCATTCGGCAATCTTTGGATTCAACTACGAGGGAAGTCATTGGAGGAAGCTTAGTTGATGGAGATGGTCTGGGAGCTGAGGAATAGACCACGGGCATCTTTTACCGGTTAATTATTGATTTCACTATCTTGTTTTTTTTTTTTT